TTTTGACCGACAAAAGGATATACACGTGACATTATTCGCGAACGAGTGGGCATTAATCTCCACCCTAGAGCACGATGGCAAAATGCACCCGGTCCGCTTCTACGGACGTGTTCTGAAAGATGGCGAGATGAACTACCACTCAGCCGTGAAGGAAGTGCTCGCCTTGCTACTGTTACTAAAGATATGCTATACACAGCTGGCGGGCCGCACCATTCATGTGTACACACAGTATTCAACATTGGAGCGGGTACACATATCGAAGTCTCTGTTCGGACGAACGACCCAATTCGCTGTGATGCTGTCTCCGTGGCATCTGGTGGTCACCAGAGACAAAGAAAAGAAATACTCTTTCGCCCAACTCTTGCAAGCGGGGCTAACGGGTTTTGTGGATTTGGAAGACACGTTGGCGACGGTTACACCGCCCATGAAGGAATCTTCCACCGTCCCATGGACCCCCAATGCTCTACGCTCGATTACCCCGATCCTACAGTGAGCTCGTGGGCTCGTTTGACGGATCGGCCAAAACCGAGAAATACGGTGGCTACGGTAGTTGCTCATGGATTGATGGCGACTACCTGACTGGACATTAGTCACCGCTGCGAGTGCCTATCTCGAAGCAACAACAGTGGACATGGTCGAGTATTCGGGCATGAACAACGGGGTTCAGGCGGCACTAGACATTGGTGCCACCGACCTTGCCATTATGGTGATTCGAGACTGGCAATCCAGCAGTCACTAGGGGTGATTGCGTGTAAGAAGGAGTCGCTGATGACCAAACACAACCGCCACCGAGAACTCGTTGCACGACTAAAATCGGTCAAGTACCTACACGTGGTACGGGAGTACAATGCATCGGCCGACTCGTTAGCAACGGAAGCATTGGAAAACAAGAGGTCAAACGTTATATCTGACGGGCCTAGGCTAGCATAGTTGAGGTCACTGAACCGCATCGAAGAGGTCATCTATGCACCCATCCCCGAATCCTCGGCGGCCGAACACTCGGTTAGTATCGCACAAGCGCAAGTTCACATGCGACATTTGCGACACATGGAACCGTCACAACGATCAGGAACTGTCCCGGAGCCGCGTCGAAAAATTTTCTTTGATTTTGTGCAAAGGGACATGGGGGATCTAACGGTAACGACCAGGCTCCAATCTAAGTCGAAGCTCAAACGTGTCAGATTTGCCGACGAAACCTCGGTGACAGGTGGAGAAGACGTAACACAACGAGAGGAAGCCAACGGTGTGTCAACAGAGGACTCGGTCCGTCTGGATACAGAGTTCTCAAGAGTAACGGCACCCAACGGTAATACCCCCGCGTTGCCTGACGCGTAAGACGTGGACCCCCTAACGCTTCAAAGAGAACGTCGAACAAGGACCGCGACTGGCCAGGACGAGGAGTTACGGTTGGCAAATTTGAACATAATTCTCCGCGGGGAAGAATCAACCCTAACGTACCGTGCAGCGAGAGACGCGTGAAAAATGTCCGATCCCTTCGTCCTAAGTGAGGACAATGTGCTTTACTATGTGGGAACGAGGCCTCTGAGGAGTTACCAACAGCAAGAAGACGCGATGCTGCGTCTAGTAGTACCCTCAACGATGATTCAAGAGGTACTACAGAACTGTCACGACTCGTTAGAAGGAGGCCATCAAGGGATCGCTTGGACTTTCTACAGAGTTAAGTTGGATTACTATATGGTCGGTCTATACGCGGGGACGTAGCGAGGCACGCGGTCCTGCCCGACTGTAGCTCAAGCAAAAGTCGACCAACGATCCGTGGATACTCTCCGGGGGGGCATACTAGCGGAACGACCGTTTCAGGTTGTTTCGATGGATTTTGTAATACACTTACCGAAGGCTCGGTGGAGTAACACAGCACTCTTACTATTCCAATGCGCATTCACGGGGTATGTGATGGGCAAAGCTATGGCAAATACGACCGCTCTGAGAGTAGCCCAAGCGTTTGAAGAATGCGTGTACCGGAGGTTCGGTGTACCTTCTCTCATCAGACATGACAGGGACCCTCGATTCATGAGCGACGTGTTCCAGTCGTTCACCGAAATGATGCAATCGCGGTCTAGGGCAACTTTGAGTTACCGGCCCCAGGCCAATGGCCAGCAAGAGCGCTCGGTCAAAACTGTTATACAATCAGTGTGTGTACGCGGAAGACCCACTGCAACAAGACTGGGACGAGATTGCCGAGAAGTTGATCTTTGCGATCAACAACTCAATGGACGCAATGAGTAAAGAGACACCCTTTTTCCTCGTCCATGGGTGGGACGCTCAGTCCACACTTAAGGCGATGTCCTCGTCGCTCAAACGATGACTCGGTCGGCAGTCAGATGCGCTGGCATGGCGCCGAGAAGTGAACCGCCAGCAAGAAATAGCACTGAAAATGGCCAAGGAATATCAGGCCACCGAGAAAGCTCGGAGAGCCAAGAAACACAATGAGAGCCTCCATGGCCGAGAAAGAGGTACAGCCCCAGGAACAGACCGAACCGTTACGCCAAGTGACGAACGGTCTGCGACAGGGGCAGTGACCGAGGACTCGGACAGCAATGCTACAGGCGCAACGAGGTCTCTTTCTGAGGTCGGGAGCCGAGTGTGGCAGTATATGGTACGGGTGAAGCCAGGATTGACGAAAAAACTTGCACACCGATGGCAGGGACCGTTCAGGGTCAAGAGGAAAGTAGAAGAGTTCGCTTACGAGCTCGAACTTCCCGATCGAAGCGGGTACAAATTTTACCCGGTAGTGCATGTGTCACGTCTAAAGATGGTAGACGAATTTGGAGATCGACCGAGTGCTTGTTTGACACGAGACGTGAACGAGGCTACGCGACTAGATTTCGCGGATTTCGACGAGAAATTAATCCCAGAAGATAGTAGGGAACTAGATCCCATCGCAGGTGAAGTTGAAGTTGAAGCGATACTAGATGATACGACCTCTCTGTCCACTAGCACCGAACGAGCCGTCAGAGAGTTTAAGGTGAAATGGGTCGGCTATGACGACCCGACGTGGGAACCCGCATCTAATCTCTCGTGCGGTGATCTCCGAGAAAAACGTCGTGACCGAAGGTTGCAAATGGTCCAAGTCGCTGACAAGGACTAGAAGCGACCGATGAATGATCTGTCTGTGGGGTAAGTGCAGCCCATAACAGCAGACGAAAGAAACTACTGCACCAGAATGCATTTTACATGTTTGTATACGATGTGAACGAGTTTTAGAATGGAATATGAAGATATGGAGAATGGAGATTACGAAATTAGTAGATTAATGCTTGAAAACTGAATTACTCCGACGCCAAACGCTCGCTGGTCGCATTCTGGACTAGCATCTCGAACGGAGCGAGGACTATGTCGGATGGAGGCTCCTCCACGTCGTGGGCAGGGGCCTCAACACCAGTAGGGGTGGCCGAGCTCTCGGCCGCTTCGCTATCGGATCCCGAAGCTGCAGCCTCAGCATGGACAAACGAGAACGAGTCCTCGTCCAAAGCTTCTACTGTCTCAACAGGAGCTGAGGAAGCGCCCTCAATGTCGACCGAGCCCTCTTTGGCAGTCTTGGCAGGCGAACCTTCACAGATCTCAGCAACAGAAGGAGCCGTGGTGACTCAAGGGGCCGTAAGGTCAGCATCGGTCAGGGATTTATCCACAACGATACTAGAGATGACGGCATGCCGAGTCATTGAAGTCGGCACTAAAAGCGGACCACTAGGATTGCAGGGAGCATACGTAGTGTTGTATGGATGCTCCGCAGAAGCATCGATCCAGCAATTCCTCCATGGTTGTTTCGCATCCAACACCCGCAACTCTCGGAACCAATTTGTGGTATCTGGAGCCCATTCCAGCACCTCCGTTGAATATTGGAGGTAGCTTGGCTCCAGCGAAACCTCTGTGGCAGCGTGCGAGTGCGATCTCAAGCACTTGTACACCACTCCCACAGCCAATCAATCTGCTGACGCAGAAGATCAGCGCGGTTGTTCCTCATCCGATTGAGATGATACCACAACCCAAGGATCACGTGAGTGAAGGGATCCAAAGGGTCCGAATTCTCTTTAAATCAACGGATGGCATTGTCCAAAGCAGACAGTTGGAGCCAATGCCGGCGCTCCCACAACGCGACGCACACGTCAATCTTCTCGTTGTTTTTGTAGCAGTGGCCCGAGAACCGGCGCCACACACGAACGAGACCAATGTGACTTTAGGCGCGAATGGAAATCCGCACGCCTTGGACGAGCTTTCCCAATTCGAAAGTCAAGGGCTCGTCCAGCATACGGTAAAAAAGCACCCGCCACGGATGCCTTGCGCTATGGACGTTGTGCATTAGCGCAAAGAACGCAAAGTCGAGCGGTGATGCGTGGTCCTTGGGAGCCGACTCAGATATACTCACATTGAGCATCTGACACCAAGCCTTTTAGCCCCAACAGCAGCGAAACCAGGCTCGAGAAACCGTTACGCAGTAGCACTGAGTTTCCAAGCGTTTGCGATCCTGAACACCACCGTAGCCGCAGGAACGAAGGCAGAGGTGACTGACCCTCGTCGGGCAGTAACATAACGGTAACGACGTGAGTTTTCCGTCGAGGCCGGGAACCACCCTGCATCCCACCACCAGGTACATGGCGAGGAATAGCCGGCTGGGTCGGGACACCAGCAGCACGCTGCGAACGAGCCCTCGTCCTCGCTGGAACGACCGTGATATTGGTCGAGACGGCCGATCCAGAGGCAGATGATACAACTGGAGTGGTCGGCGCCACAACAGAGTCTGACGCGAGGCGGGGGACCGAGGACTCAGTACCGCTAACACCATCCGCAGCGATCGTCTCCGCGTTCTTTGCAGGACTGTCAGAGGTTTCCAGCTCCGCCAGATCAATACTTACATCTTGAGAAGCTGAGAAATCGGCACAGCCGAACCGGGCTTAGGCACGGGGGGCAAAGGCGACAGAGAGTGAACGGGTCCCAACCCAGATGCACAGCTGACAGAGGACTCGGAGACAGGGGCATCGTCCACCGGAGCTCCTGCCTCCACTGGAGCCTCTACGACAGTATCCTCCCCTGTAAGAGCGTGGTGACCGTCACCGGCGGGACTGTTAACCGAGACCTCGGGGACAGTGTTCGTGGAAAACACAGGGCTATGCAGACGCTTTTGGCTTGGTGCCGAATCCATGTTGCCGGCGACTAAACCCTCGGCGGTCAAGCCCAACATAAAGTCATCATCTGCCAGCTCCTTCTCCAAGGTCTCCCGCATCCTCAATTCCGATGCAACAGAGGTGCTTCTCCGAGGA